CCAAATGGCTTTAAAAGGTTTTTTCAAATGTAACTGAATGATAAGGTGCTAGGAACTATCCTAAGTGCTTTGTGCAGATTATTCATTTAATTCTTTACAAGATTCCAAGAGATAGGTGTTGTCATAAACCCCATTGTTCAGGTGGGAAGCTGAGGAACTGGGCAGCTTAATAATTTTCCACGGTTAAGTAGCAGAACCAGACGCAAACCTAGGTAGTTCGGCTTCATGCTTCAGGTACGCTTAGTTGCTTTGCTGTGCTGCTCATGAGGCAGATAGTTATTGAATGAATTCAAACAAATTGGTAGATAAGGATTGGAAATTTAACACTATAATTTAGAAAGTGAATGCCATCAAGGAAACTTTTCCATTTAGATCTGCATATGTATCTTTGTGAAGATACCTTTTTCAACTTTGATAGCCATTCAAACCACATATCCAAATAACTCACACTATCAAATCACTGTATTAAAATCTATAACCCACAGTTTACAAAACAAGCCCAAATAAACTCCAGTTTCATTGCTCTCACTTAATTATCAATAATTTTTAGTGGAAATAAAAAAATTAGTATAAGTAAGACAAAAATTTTAAATGTTGACTTGATTTAAATCACATTTGTTATATTTTTAGTGTACACAATGTGGTACATACAGAATTTATAAACTGTATATGTTAGGGATATATGCTTAAATGATCTTATTGATGTGGATATAATAAATATATGTGGGGGGCATTTTTTTAAGCTGTAAAGGAAAAGTCATTAGAGAAAGCAAGAATAGGTCATTGTGTTCAACATGAAATTGAAAAAAAATTAATGATCAGGTCCTGAGGAGAGTGGCAGCTTTTAAAATTTGTTTCCCCTAATTTTAATTCTAGTCAGTCTATTGATCATCAGAAACAGCTGAAAAAAAAACCCACAGGGTAGATTTCAACCCTAAAGAATGTCTTTTCTTTTCAGAAATTGAGCATTCAGAAACAAGAAGAATAGAGGAAATCATCCCAGGCACTTTTTTTGTATGAGTATTTACTTTAAGGATATAACTTTAGGTTTTAGGAACTTGAATGAAAGTTACTATTAAAAATCAAAGAATTGAAGAAGTTTCAGAGTTATGAATAAGATTAAAAGTTAGCATATTCTGGGAAAATATTTCAGCCTTTAATATTTCTTTGGTGGGATTGATGAAGGTAAGTTAACGAACACCATACTAGAAACTTCAAATAAGTGATTATAATGTTACCGTTTGCTCTATAATCAGAAGATGAGCAAGGGGCTGACTTTCAACCCTCTGTACAAAATAGAGATTCCCTCTAGTTCCTCAGTCTATCCCATTTACTTCTTATGATTTTTTATAAGCAAATCAAGCTTCATTATAAAATTTTCTAATATACTGTGAGATGCTGTCTTTTATTTAACTACCTCCTCTGTGGAAGTTGTCAGAGACCTTATTGCTTATTCTTTAATAAAAATATCCAAATTATGGAGATTGTATCTTCAGTTGACAGAACCATAGTTTGTTGGTCATTAGAGTCTGGTCATTGTATTTTTCATATTAGTACTGAGTAATTGGTAAATTAATCTTTACAATTATAGATTCTACTGCAGGTGTCCTTAGCCCCTGAATAAGCTTTATTGAAGTATATCCCTAGTTAAATTTATAAACAATATTTTTAAAAATATATTATCTTGATTTTTTTACAGAGAGGAAGGGAAAGGGATAGAGAGTTAGAAACATCAATGAGAGAAAACATCGATCAGCTGCCTCCTGCACAACCCCTACTGGGAATGTGCCCGCAGCCAAGGTACATGCCCTTGACCAGATTCGAACCTGGGACCTTTCAGTCCGCAGGCTGACGCTCCATCCACTGAGCCAAACTGGTTAGGGTGATATAAACAATAATATTAATGCAGCATCATCACACACTTCTTTTAGCATTTCTCTAGAAAGCCTTTAAAGTATCTGCCCAGTAAATAAAAAAGTTGTGGTACATTTACTGCATGGAATACTATGCAGCAATAAAAAAGAAGAATCTCTTACTCTTTGAGACAGCATGGAGGGACCTGGAGAGTATTATGCTAAGAAAATAAGCCAGTTGGAGAAAGACAAGTATCACATGAGCTCACTCATATGTGGAATCTAATGAACAAAATAAACTGATGAACAAAATAGATTCAGAGACATAGAAGCATAGAATAGACTGACGAATCTCAGAGGGAAGGTGGGGGTGGGGGTGGGTGAGTGGTAACCAAAGAACTTATATGAGCATATGCATAACCTATGGATACAGACAATAGTGTGGTGAAGGCCTGGGAGGGGGCATGGATGGTGTAGAGTGAGTCAATGGTGGGGGGGAGAGGAGAGAAAGGGGATATCTGTAATACTTTAAACAATAAAGATAAATTTTAAAAAAAACATCTGCCTTTTTGAAACCAGCTCTTGGCTCTGATTAGCATTATGAATGGAGAAGTCATATATCCTCTAGGAATCTCATGTCCCTATTCCTGTTTTTGTGGTATTATTTAACTTGTTCCTCTGTTCCTGAATGTCTTGTCAATTGGTAATTCCACTTGACAAAAGTTTAGTGGTTGTGTTTTGTAAGACAAGAATACTTTATAGGAGATGCTCTATATTTCTTGGGGCATCACCTCATGAGAATAAAAGTTTATTGTTCATTTTTAATGATGCTGGAATGCATTGGGGATTCAGGTCTGAGCCCTCCATTTTAAAGTTTCCTATCAATCTTTAACCTAATGTTTTTAGTACCTAATTGATAATTTTTGCCTAATTCATTATTTACAACTGTTTCTTCTGAATTTATTAGCTGAAATTATCTATGAACAAGAATTTACTTTTTCAACTATTTAGTGCCCCCTGAAATAAGATTCTTATAAGAAAGGCAAGATAAAACTTGCTTTCTTATTATATGTAGTTTACAACCTCCATTGGAGACTAATGACAGGGTTTTTAAAATGTTATTATTAATTCATAGACTTTTATGTAGTTGATGTGCTCTTTATTCATTGTGGTAATTCTTCTTGATGCAAGTTGGCTTTTGTATCCACACTAAAAGATTCTCTAGGCTAATCTTGTACATTGTTCATTTCCTGTCCCAGACCTTGCATAACCCAATCTGCAAGGTGTCCTAGTTCCTTTTTGTGGGAAAAGGCTTTTTAGAGGCCACAATGTGGGTACAGGGAAAGCTTATTGCTGCTAGGCCTTTTCAGTGGGCCGACCTTGAACAAACACACACTCTCTCAGATTTACAAAAAGGCACCGGCTTATACTGATATTTCCAGTTCAGGTGTAAGTTTATAGGGCTTTTACTCTGTGACTGGTATCGTTATCTTTTTTCCCGTTACATTAAAAATTTTGGTTCTTAAGGTTATTAACATAATTCCTTACTTGCTTTTCCTACAGTATATCTGTACTAGTTTTAAAATTATATCAGTGGGTTAGTTCTAACAGTATGACTACTGAATGCTGTTTTATATTTGTTCTTTAGTCTTAGACTGTATTTCTGTGGTATGTATAGTAAAAATTCTGTTTTAAAGTTGTTTGAAGTAATCCTTTTTTTTAAATCTTCACCAGAGGATATTTTTTATTGATTTATTGATTTATTTTTTAGAGAGAGAGTGGAAGGGAAGGGGAGAGACAGAGAGAGAGAAACATTGATGTGAGAGAGACACATTGATTGATTGCCCTCCTGCATGTGCCCCTACCAGGGATTGAGCCTACAACTGAGTTACTCTGCCCTTGACTAGGATAGAACCTGGAACCCTTCATTATGCGAGCTGATCCTCTATCCCCTGAACTAAATCGGCTAGGGCTTTGCCTAGCTTTTTTTTTTTTTTTTAATATATTTTATTGATTTTTTACAGAGAGGAAGGGAGAGGGATAGAAAGTTAGAAACATCAATGAGAGAGAAACATCGATCAGCTGCTTCCTGCTCACCCCCTACTAGGGATTTGCCAGCAACCAAGGTACATGCCCTTCATCGGATTCGAACCTGGGACCCTTCAGTCCACAGGCTGACGCTCTATCCACTGAGCCAAACCAGTTAGGGCATTTGCCTAGCTTTTTAAAATTAATATATATGTGTTCTCACCCCATGGCATTACTGTGAGAATTGTCATCATTCCCTTTTTACAGTATCAAAGTACTCCTCAAACCCTCATTCATTTATTTTTGGGTGTTTTATCAGCTGACTTTAGGAGCCAATGTCTATTAGTAGGAAGGGAAAAAGAAGGCAATAGATGTTTCTTAAGCTCTGTGTCATTTTCTCGGTAGGTAGTATAGTTTTTCCTAAAGAGGAGGAAATTGACGTTCAGTAAGGTGTCATAATCCAGATCACATGGCCAATAAGAGACAGAGCCATACATAGTTCAGGATATAACTTGGGTTAAAGTTCATTTCTTTCTGATAGAGCAAGAATAAGTCACCTAGCATTTCAGTGGTTTTAAGACTCATATTGATGATTTTTAATGTAATATTTCAAAGGGTCTTGTTTTTTTCTAGTTTTTTTGTTTGCTGGTTTGTTTGTTTTGGGTGGCTCTTAAGAATCTGATTAAAAAATACCTCACTTTTGTGTTTTTAAAATAATTTTTGAGAGTTATATTTTTAAATGTACAATATATAAAATGCTTAGTATGTAACCAATACTATTAATAAAAAAGGGAATTTTAAAATTGTCCAGAATCTGAAACCCTTACTAATCTTGCTATTTAAACTATTTAGTTCTTTAAACGCATTTTCAGAAAGGCCAGATTTATTGCGTATATTTTCCTTCAATTTTAATCGGAAATGGATGCCTAGAGCATCTGTTTATTGTTAATATGGCTGGTTTGAAGTAAGAATTACTATTTCTAATTTTAGATACCTGTTAATATGTGAGGATCATAAATTCCCTATCTCTTTCTCTTCTCTCAACTATACACATGGAAATTCTTTCTCTTAAAAATGTGTTGTCCTAAATTTAACCAAAAAATTTTTTTTCTATTCTAGTTTGGGAATACCTGCTACTGCAATTCAGTTCTTCAAGCACTTTATTTTTGTCGTCCATTTCGGGAAAAAGTTCTAGCATACAAGAGTCAACCTAGGAAGAAGGAGAACCTTCTTACCTGCTTAGCGGATCTGTTCCATAGCATAGCCACCCAGAAGAAAAAGGTTGGAGTAATACCTCCCAAGAAGTTCATAACAAGATTACGGAAAGAAAATGGTAATCCTTTACTTGAGAAGCTCTCATGTTTCTCCTGATTAGGGCACTAATCTTAACTCTCAAGACCTAAATGGCCTCCCAAAGGCCCTATTTCCAAATAGTATCACACTGGGAATTAGGGTTTCAACATATGATTTTATCAGGGACACAGTGTATGAAGTCTGTAACATGATCTGTAAGTGTACTGTTATATTGCAAATCAGCGAGCTGAACAGAGGACACCTTAGTAAGCCTAATTTGGAGTCTTTATTACTCCAGCAGTCTCAGAGGAGTTGCCTCTTAAAGTCTGAGCAAAGTAACATGGAGGAAGCTTTCTCTTTATACCCTCCCGGTTTCTTTGTCTCCTAAATGTGGGGCTTCCGAACCTTTTGCAGGCTTTACAAAGAGCCCTATGTATTGGGAGATATTTTGCAGGAAGCTTGTAGCCTTGAGCACAGCACAATTCAGTAACCTTGAACACAACACAGTTCAGATAACTAAAAGACACCTGGCATGGGAGTAACCAGGGACAGACCAGACCCTTATGTCAGCAGAGCGGCTTGCAAGGCCAGATAATTGAGCTTATTTTCCCTATTATTTGAGCAAGTGTGTTTACAGAAGCCAAGAATAGCAGAGGTTACGAGAACAAGATGGAGTGCCTATGCTTCAGTACAATGATTTTTAAAATTTTAGATTGACTCAGAGTTCAGGTTACTGTGTTGTGAACGTTTTGTGTGGTTAAATACCCATAGCTTTATATGTTTGCTTCTCAAAGCTGGTATTAAAAACGGTGTTTATTATGTTTTAATTGTTAAATATTTTCTGAATTTTTTGTGTTTAGGCAGAGTGAATTGATGCACAATAGACTTCTTAAATACCTTGTTGAATGAGACTAATTCCAAATTAAATATTCCAGACCTATCTCATAAGTTTTGTTTCATGTTTCTGTACTTTAGAAACAATATTTAATAGAAAAGCCTTTTTATTATTTTGATGCTGGTGGTATTTGTAAGTATGTTTTGAAATATATTTTTAGCTCTTGAATTTTTCCTGGATAAATATGTAGAGAAGAGCATACAAATCAAAGAGGATTTAATAGGTTATCCATTGCATAACTTCCTTCTGATATTTTATTTGCTGGTTTGTTTTAAATCTCTGCAAAAATAGGTTGCCCATTTCAGTATTTCCACTAACTTTCACAGTTTCTCTGTTCTTAAATGTTTCCTTCCATGTATGTTATAAACTTCATGTTTTATAGTCTCAGTAGATATTAGCTTCATATTTTTAAACTACTGTTGCCTTATATAGCTAATCATTTTTATATCCTTTGGAAAGATTGTATTTTAATTTTAGTAATGAATTTTTTTTTTAATTTTGTGTCCTCCACTCAAAACATTAGAGGACTGTGGCACAGTGCTCCTAAGTGCAGTATGATCAGACCTGCTCTGTACATCTTATCTTTGATGATGTGAAACTGGCTGAATATTTGAGTTAATTATTATATATTTAGTTCCTACTGTGTACCTGGCACTATGCAGAACTAGGGACATAGAAATAAGACAAAGCCTCTCGCCTTGAGGGAGCTGACATTCCAGTGGGGAAGTCAAACAATAAAGAGTTATGTAGTATAACGTGTCATAACTGTGCTGAAAATAAACTAGGGAAAGGGGATGGAGAATGAGGGAGTTGATAAATGGTATTAGATTAGAACTTTGAAGTGAGAAACAAGCCATTAGAAGGTCTGAGGCAAAATAGTCTTAAGCAGATAGAACAGAAACTGCAATTGCCCTAAGTGCTAAAAGGACATCAAGAGAATTAGGGTAGCTAGAGTGGAGTAAGCTGAAGATAAGTTAGAGAACGGCAGGGCCTAGACCTTGGGTTTTATTTTGAAAGCTACGGGAAGCCACTGAGAGTTGTGGGCAGATGGGCAGGTGATATGTTCTGATCTGTGTTAAGGAAAGAGCTTTCTGGCTGCTAGGTGGCCACTTTGTGGGAATGGGTAGGCTGGGCAACGTGAGAAAAAGCAGGGAGACCCGCCCGGGGACTATTGGAGTGATTTACGTAAGAAATGAAACCATCTGTTTAAAATTAGTAACTTTCTCCAGGCTTTCTATTATTTTGGAAGAATTAAAACAGGTTGGTGATCTAATTATGTTAGCTAGAGTTGACTCAACTGGAGAGTGTGGGATCATTTACGGTGGCCTTGAGCATCAGATCAGATGGCATCTGCAGCTGTGCTCTGACATTGAATCTTGGCATTGTACATAGTTCGTATTGTTGTTTTGGGCCATATTTAGTCTTCTCATGTCGTTTTTAGCTGTTTCAATCCCTATTCCTTGTTAGTTTGTTCATTCATTCAAAAACTGTCAAGTCCATCTGCTATGTGGCAGGCACTGTTCTAAGTGCTGGGGATACAGCTGTAAATGAGATAGAAAGGGTCCTGGTCTCAAGGATCCTGTATATACATAATAATGTCAGGTGCTGTGGAGAGATACAAATATAAATTTACATATATATATTATTTTTAGGTGTTGGTCTTCCTCAAATGAGGAAATATTAGTTGTTTACAAATAACACTTATTAAACATATTGAGTAAATAATTTCCCATATTCGTTTCAGTCTTTTTTCTTCAAAAGAGTATGAAGGACATTTTGTGTCATGAAAGCTATTGCTATTTCTGAATTATAAAGAAAACATAACTTATTTATAAGTAGTGACTTTGTTTTCTTTTTTTGGCATTAATGTTGCAGCTATATCTGGACTATAAATGTTTATACATTCTATATACATTTATTTAATAATGAAATTGTCTCTCCCACTAGACTACCAGTTCCATGATGGAGAGAACCCATTTATTTTTGCTCACCATTGTATTCCCAGCACATAATCCAGTTCCTGGCACATAGTAGGTGCTTACTAAATATTTGTTGAATGAGTGGATGGATGAATGAATGAATGTGTTTGTTTAATTTTCCAAAGCAAATTTGAAATTCACCTTTCCCATTAGGCTCCTTAGCACAGGAGAAAGAAAACCATGATTTGAAAAATGAAATATAATGTAGTTTACAGGGATTGTCCTGAGGCCATTTAGTTGATGTTTGGTGTTAATGAAGTGCTTGTTGAGGTTTTTAAAACTGTAGTGGCTGTTCTCAGATCGTGCAAGATTCTGGTATATTCAGTGTACTATGTTTATAGAAAATACAGTGTATACTATTTTAAATATTTCAACAAAACACTTAAAGAGTATTTTTCTGGTTTACTTTGCATCTCATTTCTGGCTCTTTCAAGTCAGGGTTTTCTATGAATATGAAGTCATTGTTCTCTGTTAAAAGAACATTCAATAAAAGGTGTTTCAAGTTTTTAAAAAACAAAAACATTTGCACAGTTTTGCTTTAAAAAGAACTAATTATTTTGAAAAACGTGTATATGTTAAAGTATATTTTTTATCGACCGTGGTGAATTATTTGGCTCTCACCTTAACTAGGCAGTGTTTATAACATCTTCTTACTGGTCCTCTCCCATAATCCTCCTTTTTTTTTTTTTTAAATATATTTTATTGATTTCTTACAGAGAGGAAGGGAGAGAGATAGAGAGTCAGAAACATCAATGAGAGAGAAACATCGACCAGCTGCCTCCTGCACATCTCCCACTGGGGATGTGCCCGCAACCCAGGCACATGCCCTTGACCGGAATCGAACCTGGGACCCTTCAGTCCGCAGGCCGACGCTCTATCCACTGAGCCAAACCGGTTTTGGCAATCCTCCTTTTTTAGATCTATGACTTTTCCAATTTATTTCCACTTTTCTTAATTCCCCTAGTCACCGCTAGCATACTTTCCTTCCAGTCTATATACCATATTTGCCGGCGTATAAGACGACTGGGCGTATAAGACAACCCCCTAACATTTCCACTCAAAATACAGAGTTTGTTATACACTCGCCGTATAAGACTACCCCCTCTTCCGCACACCTTCCACACACCAAATAAAAGGTAAAACAATATCAGATTTGATTTTAACATTTTAATTTATATTCAAATGCTTATGACATGCAGGAAAACTGTCACAAGGCTGTATGTAATCAAACATATACATAAAACAGTGCAAGTTTATTACCGGTAAACATACAGGTAATTCCAG